AGCGAAAACGGGGCTGTCAAAAAAAACGTTAAGCGAAACAAGGGGACCTAAAACCAAAAACGTTAAGCGAAGCTTGGTCCTGAAATCGTTAAGTGAAAATCGCCCATAGGGAAAATCATTAAACGAAGCACAAGATCGCTCCGAAAAAATCGTTAAGCGAATTTTTCATTATACGAAGCAATCGTTAAGCGAGGCACCACTGTATCTCATTAGCATATCAGCTCATGGATAAAACACCTCTTGAACATTTAAGAGCTCGTTCCACCAGAGTGCGGTCAACTTCTACTGCCTTCCAGCGCGGAATAGAACTTCCTCACATCTGCCATGCAGCCACATGGTCTAACCCATCGACCTTTGTGAGGCACTACTGTCTCGATATCTGGGCGAAGAATGATGCTGCTTTTGGCAGAGCGATCTTTGCATCCTTTCTACTGTGACGTCCCACCATCCGGTAAGTGAGCTTCTCAGTCACCCAATTGTGTGCATTCACAGAGTCCATGAAGAAGAAAGAGAGGTTACTTACCTGTAACTATGGTTCTTCTCGTGGTCCTCTGTAAATCCACACATCTTGCCCATCCTCCCCTCTGTCCATCACGTTGTCCTTAATATAGGCCTTGGACAGTGGCGGATTCTGACAGGAACTGAGGGGACCTTTGGAGGGTGGAGCATACGCTTCACGGGGGAACGTCCTACTAATCACATGTCTTTAAGCTCTAGAAACTTCCAAGACATCCTGTGCAGGTGCAGAACAACCCAATTGTGTGGATTCACAGAGGACCACTAGAAGAACCATGGTTACAGGTAGGTAACCTCTCTTTATCCCTACTCAGTCTCCATCAAGATAGCTTTGATTGAGGTGATGTAAAAGTTGCTGGTTCTCCTTGTGTCACAGGAGTCAGATAACCAACTGGTCACAAGGAAGGAGATACCCCAGAGGACCTGGGATTTCTGCCTACGAAGGATCTAAAAGGACACCCATTAAAAGAGATCAAAATGTTACTTAAAAATCAGGAGAAGATATTGGCTGAAATCCAGTGGCAGCTTCCAACTAGAGCAGGCCCACGGAATCCATGGAATTTACAAAGGAGCTGACTCACCAAATCCCCGTTGATCCAATGGGCCCATTTAAGTACGCCACGTACTACTGGATTTCAGCCATTGGGTTAAATCCTATTAATCGTCCCATTGAAGTAGACCCATTGACATGAATGGAACTTCCTGTTCAATGCTGGCTTAAGACCCGTTTCTTTCAATGGGACTGTTGTAGCAGAGACCCCCAGTTGACATCCGGCCATTATTCCCCCCCACCCCAGCCCCTTTTAGGGTACTTGCTTGACACACTGTCCATCAATGAACTGTTTAAAGCTCTTGAGATGGAGCAACTCAAACATCTCTGATCAGTCCTGCTTCTGAAGCGTTTCCCTCCCTGTTTTTATAGGGCGATGAAGGGCCAGTGGGACCACACGGAATCCCTGGGGCAGAGGTAAGAGGGACGGTGGTTGTTCTTCTGGGGGAAGGCATGTTTTGGGCTGGGGTCCTTAGGTCCCTGCCTCCGGCCTCTGATTAAGCCACGGTTTCCGTTAGTTCCTCCCTTTTCTGGGGCGCCTAGAATATAATGTGACCGACTGGGCTCACATGGTCTGCAGGAGCAGTGAAGAAAGTGACATTAAGCATGTACTTTTAGCGCACCACCATGCTCAGGGGTCTGAGCTCATCTCATTCATCTTTGGTTGCTTCTTTTGAAAAAGGATTCAGAAGCTTTATGTAGCGGGTGAGGATCTTGCCTACCAGAATACCCCCATTTTTGCCCAGTACGTCCACACCTGCGGGCATCAGGCCCCTTTCTCCCCCCCCAATCTTGATCTCACAAAGCGCCTCTAGACAGAGGTTGGAGCAACCCACGCCTCGGCTGTACCATGACAGCCCAGCACCTGGACGGCTAAGGCATGTCAAGGATCGTCACCAGCTGCTGCCAGACTAGAAGACACGCCTGCTCTTGGCCAGTGCCAGGGAAACCACTTAACCACTTGCCTTTCCCCCCCATTCCACTAGCGATTTCTCCCAACAGGATTCGGGCCTGTCTGTATGTTTTGTCATTGTGCTCTCTTGTTGTTGCTACTGCTCTTAACCTGGAGAGTTTGTGTGGCCGTAAAGACAGGGCTAAATTACCATATTTTTCCATATATAAGACACCCCCCTTATATAATACACTCCCCCACTTTTCTAATCCAAAATTAAGAAATCTAAGTGGGGCTTAGCAAGCGTGGGGGAGAAAGGGATCGAAGTGCTGCAGGATCGCTTTGATCCCTGCTTTCCCCTCCACTTGTTTTTGTTCTTTCCTCACCTTACTTCTGTGTATAAGACGACCCTCAATTTTTAGTCTAAAGTTTTTAGACAAAAGTATAGTCTTAAAATACGGTAGTTTGATAAATACGTAATTCGTTGCGAGGAGATGCACAGAATTTCCAGCAGCTTCTGGCCTTCCTCTTCCCCCCTTGCCCAAGTTCCTAAGTGATCCCGAGGATTTCCACATAAGCCTTCTGTAAGGAGAGGCAGACCCTTTTGAATCCTGCCGTAGTCCTCTGGCCCCCAGGGTGGCCATAGCTCTTGTCCCAGGGAGAACAGTCCTCCACTGAAAGAACGGCATATTATCCTCTTGCTCAAGACATCCTCTGTTTGAAAGGCTGTTCGGTCCAAGTCTGGTTTAAAGACCAAGAACTACAAGGGAGAACTTGGATCTTGCCGTTGCCCATCATCCACAGTAGGCGCAGACTTAACCGAGGTGTGCAGGTCACACCTTGTCACAGCTTTCCCCAATTGTCACTCTCATGGCTTCACCCAGGTTCCCACCGAGGATCACATCTTCTGATGTTGTGTTTTGTTTCCCCCCCCAACCCCAAGGGTCCAATTGGCAGAAAGGGATTTCCAGGAAAACCAGGTCCTGATGGTTTAAAGGTAAGAGAAGCAGCTTTGCACTATCTTGAAAAGAGCTAAAAAGGGTTCCCCCTGAAATACAGGGGAATCCCACTGCCTAACATGCTGAATTTTCTTTCCTTCTTTCTTCTTCTCTACCACTAATATTGTGTGTGTTTTTTTTTAAATCCATCTTTTTGCTCTTTGCTCTGGAAACTCCAACTCACTGTGGTTTCTGTGGCAGAAAGAATGATGGTGCATATTTTTGGAAACCACAGCTTTTTATTATTAACCAACAGAGTCCTGTTTTGAAAATCTCCCCCATCTTTTAATTTTTTTATTTTGAAAAAAAATCTTTCTTTCCATGAGCCACTCTCAGAGTTTCTGTCTGAAAATGACAGCGGCTGGCCACCCGTCTCTTCCTCCTTCCACTGACTAATTGGCTAAGGAACCCATCCCAGGGCATGGCTCTCCCCCCCCCCCCGCAACCCCTCCAGCTCCCATCCCTCCCGGAAACAAAATGTAACTCCTGAAATGGATGAACTGCAAAAATCCATCTGCCTGTACAGGGCATAGGAGAAAACTCAGCACCCGGAAACAAAATGTAACTCCTGAAATGGATGAACTGCAAAAATCCATCTGCCTGTACAGGGCATAGGAGAAAGCTGCTTATGCCCTGGGATTTTTTTCCTCGCGCCATGCCAGCGATCCTGTGTAAATTCTCAGCTAGTTAATGGCTAATTGAGTGCTTTTCCATAGTAAAGGTGTCCAGGTCTTCTGCACTTTTTCCCTTCCTTGTTCGTGACTGGCTTCCACTTCTCCTCCTCTTTAATGTTTTCATTAAGTGCAAACTGGAAATAGGTACTTGTATAGAACATAAAACAAACACAAGACCTTGTTGGAAAAGCCGGCCGTTGGCCGATCCTTTACAGCTCCCGAATGCTTTACAACTTGGTCCGGGCTCTGTGTTAAATTTGGCTCCCGGCATTCAAGGACAGTTAGTGCCCCAGAAGCAGAACTGGTGCTCAGAAACAGAAACCATGGTTTGTAAGTGGCGTTTGGTTTTATGATCACTAACAGTTCTCTCTCCATTGTGAACCCACTGGCTCTACTCTACGGCTGCTGACACACAAAAAGGCCGACATTGGAAAAATGCAAACAAAAATGTATATGTTTGACCAAAAAAATGCACAAAATATGGATGAGCAATGGGAACGGTTCATATGGAATAGAGGAAGCTACCCTGGATGCATCTAGCCTGGTAGTGTCAACTCTGACTGGCAGCAGTGGCTCTCTAGAATTTCAGGCAGTATCCGCTCCTTGCCCTCGCCCTGTCTGGAGATGCGGGGGATCGAACCTGGGTACCTCCTTGCAAAACAAGTGCTGTGCACTGAGCTATGAGTAAAAGAAGTAGCACTTCAAAAACTCCCTTGGTGGCCGCCCGTCCATGCCATGAGCCAGGCCCCCAGCTGCCTTCCCTCCTCATTCTGGAGGTTTAGTGGTGATCAGAAGGACAGAAGAAAGATGGAATTAACCTGGCAGTGGAAGAATACCGTATTTTTCACTCCATAAGACGAGAATTAACCTGGCGGTGGAAGAATACCACATTTTTCGCTTCATAAGACACTAATTTTTTAGGAGAAAAAAACAGGAAAATATAATCTGTTTTCTTCGCTCCATAAGACGCACAGACTTTCCACCCCCCCTGTTTTGTGGGAAAAAGGTGTGTCTTATGGTGCGAAAAATACAGTAAATATGTCTGGAAAACTGAGCTTCACAGATCCACACATTCCTAGCGTTGTAAGCCATAGAAGAGAAGAGGGGTATCCTCGGCCTGCAGCAAAGTCTTGACGGAGGTTTCTTGGCATGCGCCCACCTCTGCTTTTGCAAACAGTCATCTTCTCTTTAGTGTCAGTTGTGCTGTCCGGCCACGCCGTAATGATGGAGGAAACCCATCTGGCTGCGGAGTGAAGTGGCCTCTGACAACACTGTCTAGAAAAGCTGGGCCCTTGATAATGTAACCGTGGGAAGAGCGTGCGGTGCTCACAGCTGAAGATGATCTAGTTACTTTGGTTAGTAATTGTTCTACGCGCAATCTATGAGAGAGCTGTCTGAGACGAATCCGTTCATTAACAGAAGTTCAGCTTTGGAGGTGTGGTTGCAGCAGATACAGTAGACAGACAGATAATCACACTCCATACAGATGAATTTCTACAGAATGAAAAAGGCTTCCTCAACCTTCCTGTTCAAAGAATGGGTGAGAAATTCATTGTGTTTGCCTTCTAATAGGAGATTATTCAAACGGCACTTCCCACCACGATGTGAGAACTCAATGTGTGGCGAGAAATCTGTCCATTTCCGAGCCTGTGATAAGCTTTTTTTCTAAAAGCACGCACTTAAAAATGGATGGAAAATGTGTGCATTTGAAAACTATAAAAAAGTATTTGTGCGCGTGTGTGTGTGTGGGGAGCTCAAGCATTGCCATTCTCTATCCTTCCTGTAAAGACCAGATAAGCAGGAACCAGGCAATCCATCTCCGCAGCAGAGTTAAGTGGTGGGAATTGATGGTGGGAGTAAAGGAGAGGAAGAATCTTTTTAGGTATATAGTCTTCGTACCGATGGAGAGCTCAGCGGATTAGGGTCTCTGGCTGCAGAGCCAGAGGTTGGGAGTTCGATTCCCCCCCCCCCACGGGGCCTCCTTGGCAGGGGCTGGACTGGATGCTCCATAGAAACCCTTCTTGCTCTGCCCTTCTAAGATGATGGTTATATATGATTTGCTGCGGGACATGAGAATTTGGGAGTCTCTAGGGAGAAATAACTCCCAGGAGACCTCCGACACAGAGCAAAGTGCCAGCCATTATTCTGTAGTTCCTACACCCCTTCTGTAAAAGGGGAGCCACAGGACCCATCTCGCAGAATTGTTTTTGAGGAGGAAGCTAACCAGTTGGAAGAATGTCCTATTGAACCTTTGGTGGCTCTGCAGCAAGTGGCGATAACGTTGCCGTCTCTGTCTCTCTCTCTCTCTGTTTCTCTCCTGTGATGTAGGGTGAACCAGGGGATCGAGGTAGACCAGGAAAAGTTGGCGAACAGGTAAATACCTTCTGTTTTTAATTCTCCTTACTGCTTTGTGACACTGTGGTTCTTGTAAATTTAGTTTTTTTTTCTCCCAGCAGTGGAGGGTTGGCCCGAGGTGGCCATCACTGTGGCTGTCTTATTAGACTGGGAAACATCCTTCGTGTTAGAGCGCGTCCCCTTTCTGACGTTCCGCCGTTATTCATTTGTTCTGCATAATTTATATGCCACTTTTCCCATGGCAAGCTCTGTACGAAAATGGCTCGTGATCAGACTCAAAACGGATCAAAAAGCAGTGTCTCAAATAAAAGAACGCCTGCAGAGTAAACCTTCCGGCAGGGCTCGGTTCTGTGGGGAGGTGCCACAGAGACGAACAAATTAGGACCAACAGCTGTGATTCCCTCGTCTTAGTGGGAATAGAGGAGGTACGTTGGTGTACGCCCCAGGGGAAATCGAGTTGTGTTGATGCACAGCTGTGTTGCTGGGAATGTAAATATCGGTCGGTGCCAGCGTGCCCAAATGAATTTTTTTGAGCGCCCGCATGCAGATTTCCCACGCTCATCCTTTGGAAAGCACCGTCATGGCTTCTGTCATTGTTAGCTGGTAACCACGGACAGTAATCCCGTGGAGAAACCTATGAAGAAGTGGAAGAAAATGTGCTTTCTCTGAAGGCCTGGGGGGGTGAACCGCAGGGAGACAAAGAAACGAGCTCGCGGTGTCTACAGGCAGATCCAAAACCACCCCAAACTGACCAAGTGTTGTGTAACCTCAGAGCTTCCTACATGCTCATCTCGTTCCCAGGCTGACCACACGGAACTGCCTGTGGTGGCCTTGGTGAGACCGGCCGTGGGCTACCCTAGCCGTTGGCTGATGGCTCTGTGGCTTGTCCTGGAGGCCGTTTCTCCCGCAAATGTCTTGGTTCATGGGTACAACTCTGTTTTACTGGCTTGTACATACACACCCTTGACGCTCTAGTCTAGAGTTGTGTATACGTAGATTGCCTCTTGAAAACCCTTACAGTGGTGCCTCGCTAGATAGTTACAGTTTTTTTTTTGCTAGACATTGACTTTTTACGATCGCTATAGCGATTCGCAAAAAAGTGACTCCTATGGGGGGATTTTGCTGGACAATGTTTGGTCCTTGGTTTGCAAACCGATTTTTGCTAGACGACAATTTGCTTTTCGCTAGACAATGATTTCCATAGACAGCGATTTCAGTGGAACGGATTATCATCGTCTAGCGAGGCACCACTTCACTGGTTTTTATTTTTGGCCTGAGAAATTAGGCAGGGACTGTTTTAATGTGTCGCCGTGTTTCATAGTATCATAGGAATAGAATTGTAGAGTTGGGAGGTTCACCAAAGATCATCCAGTCCAGTGTCAGGGACAGCTAAAGGTATCCTTAACAGATCACTATACAACCTCTGTTTAACAATTGCTGCTGAGGGGGTGCCCTTCCTGTGAAGGAACAGTTCCCCCCCCCCATAATGTTTAACTGGAATTTCTTTTCTTGAAACTCGAATCCCTGGGTTCGATTCCTTTCATTTACATCATGGGAAATAAACAGTATAGATTGTGACAGCTGATCATTCAAGATGAAATATATGGGGAAAGAAGTGCAGAAGGGAAGAGGGACGTGTGGCTGAAGAACCTAGGAGACAGACCGGGAGGCAGCTCAGCACCCGTATTCAGGGCTGTTGCCTCCAAGCTAAAAAAAAAAAGCCACCAAAAAACCACCACAACAAAACACCACAATGACTTTCAGATTCTGGAAGGAGAGAGATAAGAAAAGCAAAAAGGTTCAGTCCCTACCTTATTTTTTTTTACCGGTGAGAATGCTGATTGGGACCTGAGGGAATTCAGATTCTAGTTCTAACATTTTTTAAAGCTCTGACCCAGCCATTGGGACGTGGTGGCGCTGCGGGCTAAACCGCAGAAGCCTCTGTGCTGCAGGGTCAGAAGACCAGCAGTCGTAAGATCGAATCCACGCGACGGAGTGAGCGCCCGTCGCTTGTTCAGCTCCCGCCAACCTAGCGGTTCGAAAGCATGCAAATGCGAGTAGATAAATAGGGACCACTTCAGTGGGAAGGTAACAGCGTTCCGTGTCTAAGTCGCACTGGCCATGTGACCACGGAAGATTGTCTTCGGACAAACGCTGGCTCTATGGCTTGGAAACAGGGATGAGCACCGCCCCCTAGAGTCGAACACGACTGGACAAAAATTGTCAAGGGGAACCTTTACCTTTAACCTTTACCCAGCCATAAAAATCACTGAGTGAACCTGTGCAAGTCTGTCTTTTGTTCACTCACACAGGGCTGTTGTCAGGATAAAAGGAGGAGGTCTATGTATATTGCCTTGAGCTCATCAGGGTAATACCAGGATGTACATTTGAATAGGAAATAATAAGTTTTAAGAAACAGCCAAGGAAAAGAGGTTCTTGAGGGCTGGTCGTGCCATTAATCCTGGCAACAAAAGGGCCCCTTTTTCTTTTCCTCTGTACTTTTAATTGGTTTGTTTGTAGCACTGCCCTGCAGCACACTCTTCTGCAAAATCGAAGATGCTGAGGGATTCTGGGAAATACCAGAATCCCCATTAATTTTCCCTGGATGTTCCTGGACATTATGGGCAGGGTGGCGGCAGTGCAATTTTACAGCAAATAAAGAATAGTCTAATATCACCCTTGTTGATCCTGAATACGAGATGCTGCTGAAGACAGAATACTGGCGATGTTCCTCCTGAGCTACTCTGGGCATAGGCTCCAAGCAGGAAACACTGGTCCTGTTTGCCCTTAAAAAAAAAACACAGCTGGCTTCTCCCGATGGCTCCTGATCCAAGCGCAGGAAAGCCAGGCAGAACTATTTTTTGCTCCTTCCCTGGCTAGGAAGGTCCCTCTGGAAACATGTCCATTTCCTTACTGATTAGGTCATTGGAAAAGAGGAATGTCACACAACCAGACATGTCTTCCTTTCTCCTGCCCTTCTTCTTCATCATGAGCTGCTGGGCGAGCACTGAGCTTTGGAAACGGGATCGCCCATTGAAAGCACAGTTCTTGGGACATTAACTATTTGCACCCCGCTGGGGATTTTCTCCAGAAGCCGGGGAGAGTGGTTTGTTTTTTTAAATTGCATCTATATCCCTTTTTTTCCTTCCCAAGATCTCATGGGAATACACATGGCTCACCTCTTTGCCACAAGGTCCTCAGGACCTTTGCCACAAGGACAGCCAGAGAGAGGGCTGGAGGTTGGTCACCAAAGGGGTGGAAATATGACGAATACATCGCATTATAATATTCTGAAAGACCAGCCCCTGAAATGACTCTCAAAGCAATGCTCTGGTTCCTAATGTCTGATGGCAACCTTTCCCCCTAGGTTATACCTGCACGAGATGTTAATGATTTACTTTTGTTTTCATTAGAGTGGCTTTAAATTGAAGTAAGATCCCGACAGCTGCATTCTGTCATGCTTTCACCCTGCCCTGTGCTTTTATATCTACAGAAGGGGGAAAAATTCCCAGCTTATTTAGATTTTTAATGAAGTCACCCTGTTCTTTGGCCTGCATTTCAAAAGTACCTTTCGGTTTCCTATCAGGACGAAACTCTGAGCATCTGATACTTTTCTTCTAATTCTTTGTTTTTGCTTTTTGAATTATGCACAAATAGATGTGCATGGCTGGAAATGCATATATTTGAAAAATATGTGCAAACACGCTTTCATCACATGAAATGAGCACATTAGGAGAAATGTCTTTTTAAAGCCCCGGCTGTGAAAAGTGCATAGCAAAATGGGCCTGAATTTCAGGAATAAAGAAAGCTGTCTTATACCGAGTCAGACCCTTGTTCCATATACCCTGGTATTATCAATTTGCACGGGCAGCTGTCACTCAGCGTAGTTTTAGTCAGACCTCACTGGACATCCCTGGTATTCCCTGCTGGTCTTACATCCAGGAGCTAAGCGTGATCCGTTTGCTGTGGTTCGTATTGGGGGGGGGGTCTTTTTTGCGGGAGGGAAATTCCCCAACTGACTGGGAGCCCAAAAAGCAAATCCTTGCAACCTGATACAAAACTGTATGCGGAGTGGGGGTGGATGCGATGCGATTTGATGCCAAGCAAAGGGAGCAAGAAATAAATACCAGCGGGGGCTCTGAGTTAGGCAGCAAAATCAAGATGGAGAGATTCTGGCATCCCTATTCAGATTGCCTTCCGAGTAGATGCAACAGGAGGAGGAGGAGGTGGTGGTGGTGGAGAGCGCTCCTGAGCACAGCGTTCAGATCGCCGCCTTCCGAGTAGATGCAACAGGAGGAGGAGGAGGTGGTGGTGGTGGAGAGCGCTCCTGAGCACAGCCTTCCCTCTGTCCTCTGGCTGTGGCTTCGCCTGTAATTTGTTCCTGCTCTGGTGTGCGCTGTGGCTGTTGCTGGCGCCCAAACTTCAAAGCCCCAACTGCGGTTTTTAAGGCAGGACCAGCTGCCTTAAAGTGGCCGAGAGAGAGAGAGACTCTCGGGTCTGGGAGCAGTTGTGTCCTTCCTGGTAGCCAGCAAGGAGAGTTCTGGGCAGTTGGCAAAGGAAGCCGAGCTCATTCATCCAGCGAGGAGAAGCTCGCTCTGTTTGCTGCTCTGGAGTAAACAAACCAGAAAATCCATTTTCCTTTTGTTTGTTTTCTCCTCTCTCTCTCTCTCTCTCTTTCAGGGTCTGATGGGCTTCCTTGGTCCAGTAGGGGAACCTGGAATAGTCGGGGAGAAGGTAAGGAAGGGCAGCTGTTTTGGACCAGCTGTAAGAAATCGGGCAGATTTAGGTTTAATACTGTCAGGAGCCATCCCTTCTCTGCATGAAAAAAAACCTCCTCTCTGGTTGAAAGGCTGCCAGGGAACAGTCCTCTCTTTTTTTGTGAGTGACCTGCCTTGAAAGGCCTTCCTCCTCTGGTTGAAAGACAAAGAACCATGAGCTCTCCTGATCAGTTGACCTCTTCCAGTTTTGGTGATACGGGAGAGTCTGTCCCACCTCCTCGCCACCGTTCTGTGTTCTGTCTTCCACGGCTAGCCTGTAGGAGAATGGAGGGTGCCCCCCAGGGTCCAAGACTGGTTCCGGAACTCCTCAAAGCAAATAGGTTTTCCATTAAACCACAATTACCTTTTTCTAAAACAGAAAACGTGCTCCTTTGAGGGCTCAGTGAGTGAGAGAGAGACTCTTGTTGTAGAAACTAACTAACGAATGAACGAGAACTTTATTTATTCAGACTTATTTGAAATGTCATCTTTTATTTATTCAAATAAATAAATTGAGAAAGAACTTCAACAAAAGTATTCTCATTCCCTTCTCAGTTCATTGGCAGGAGCTGGAGCAGCCCTGAAAGGCCCCCCCGGGAGCCTTTCCGCCCATGAGCTGCTTTGCTCAAGGATTCCAGGCTCGCTTCGGTGGCTTGTCTCTCCTGCCAACCCCATCGAAGCACCGGCCAGGGTGCTGAGATGGGGCTCTGCCGTGTTACCCTCTGGACCGGAAGGCGTCGCCTTTTAAGCCTCTTCTGCTGATTCCGGGCAGGCTGTTTGTTCACTGAAATGTCTCACCCTGGCTTTGTGTGTGTGTGTCTCTCTCTCCCTAGGGTGACCGGGGTGCAGTCGGACCACCGGGACCGCCAGGCGCCAAGGGGTCGATGGTAAGGAGTAAGTCTGCATCCTCTCTGCTCTTTCTCAGCCTGACCAACGAGGGGTCCGCTCCTCGTCTCTCTCGCTCCCACTTGCACCTTCCTGGGGTGACCCCTGCCATGCTTTCTCCTCCCTCTCCAGCAGCCGGTCCTCACCCTTCCAAGTCAAGACGGGTGGCTTGGTCTGAGCTAACTTACAACGTCTTAGCACTTATGTGACCCGGTGGGATTTAGTGCGTGCTGGCCACACACCATACCCTCGCTCCAGGAATCACACTGTTTATAAGCCTGAGAAAACAGTTTTCCTTGATTTGCCAAAGTGAAGGCTATCACAGCAAAGATGGCATATCTTTGTGTGTGTGTGCGCGTGCGCGTGCGTGCATGCGTGCGTGTGCGCACATTAACTGTTTAAAGTCCATTGAGCAAGTGTGGATAGAAGATAACTCAGAAAAAAGAGATCTCTCCGTGACCTGGAGTAGATCACCAAGAACCTACTGGATTGTTGACCGGAGTCCCACGACCATTATTGCTAGAGGTGCTTGTAACCACATCTGCCACACACACACATGGTGACAGGAGAGTGGCAGCACACACGGTTTCACCATTGGCCCAAGAGTCTTGTGTCGCCTCTAAGACTAGCAGATTTATTTCTGTGTGAACTTTCAGAGACTCCAAACCGCTTCCTCTCACGCATGCAATACAGTACTTCAGCATCAGGCGGACAGTTCGTTGTTACTGTTTGAATAAATGAATGCGCTTTGAAACGTGTCGCTGTGGTTGTACTGTGCTTAAGTAAGAAGCGGGGTAAACGGGCACAGGATTTCATGGGTGTTCCTCTGTGTTTCGTAGGGACATCCGGGGCTACCAGGTGCAGTTGGCGAGCAGGGCCCTCCTGGACCACCGGTACGTAAAGCCTGCTTTCCTTCAAGCTGGCCCCCAAGAGTCACTGCTGTCTCTTTCTATCACGATGAATTTTGTTTGGTGAGGGTGGGGAACGCTCTTCCCCTCAGCACTGCCACCGAACCCTTGGTTTTTGAGAGCACGAGACTGTGAGGTGGGCCTTCGGCTTATCTGTTCAAACAGGGCAGCCTCTCCTCGGGACAGGGGTGGAAACGGCATTTTAGGAAACAGAAGAAATGGGAACATTCCCCTTAAACGTCCTTCTGATCTTCTTCTAGGGCCCTGCTGGGATTCGTGGCCCTCCGGGAACGAGAGGCTCCAAAGGCCGTCGGGTAAGTGGCTCAGCTTGTTGCGCGGGTGGCTCAGCTTGTTTCCCTTTGAGCTTCTGGGCAAGGAGATTAAGCCTGATAAATCCGTAGGCCTGGTGGGTTGAAAAGAGTTAAATCATTCACCTAAAGGTGGTCCACATGTGAAACGCACAGGCTTCATCCGGCAGGGTGACTCGCTGCTGAGTAGCTGCAACCAAGGAGGCTCTGTTGCGCGTCTTAGCCAGGCGTGCTTCTGGCAGTGGTGGAGCCCAGTGCGCCAGCTGCCTCCTCTGAGGAAGAGGAAGACAGCCGTCCTTCGGAGCTGAGGAATCTGTGGTCCAGGAGTCAGCTGGCATCTCCTCTCAGCCCCAGCCAGCCTAGCCAACGGCCGGAGTTGGGGTTCAGCATCACAGGGAGGGCCTCGTAGTCCTTGGCCCCAACAGGGTTTCCCTTTTGCTGCCTCGGATTAACAGTTCTTGACCTGCTTTCGAGTCCTTGGCTGTTGTATTTTCCATGCTGGCTTAGGGGTACCTGCGCCGCCTTAGGCCTCAAAAACAACCTTTCTGTGTTCTGGATGACGTAACAAGTTCTCAGACTGATGCTGTCAAAGATCGTGGCTCTGGTGGGTTTGTTTCCCATCCGTGTCCTTCGCAGAGACATGCAGCGCTCATATGCTGAATTCCATCACCGCCCCGTCTCTCATAGCTGGAGAAGGTTTAAAGGCACTATTTTGCACGAGGGGAACAAATGACATGTCGCGAGGCCACCCTGTTGAGTGGAGATGAATGGAAAATAATTTCGGCATGGTCTCTCTTGGGCCAGAACTAATCTTGCACTTATTGGCGTGTAAATCTCCAGGGTGGCGCACCGCACAGGAAGCCGAGAGGAAGCCTCTCCCGGGCCCTTTCTTTCGGCATCCCGTTCTGGAACAGCAATTCCCTTCCCTCCCTCTCTCTGTCTCTCTTTATAATTTTTTTTCTTGCTCTTCCTTTTTTTTTTTCTTTTGAGCCAAGCCTGTTATTTCCAGAAGGCCTTTCCCTGCCGCTGTGGCATTGGGCTGCGCCTGGGCCAAAAACTCTCCGACGTGCCCCAGGTTTCCCCTCGTTTGCCTTCCACTTCTTCTGCAGCTTGAGCGAAGCAAGAGGCGGCGAGGGAGGAACGGCGCCGGCGGTGAGAGGCCTTCTGGCCGCCCTCCCTCCTGAAGCTGTCAGACCCATTTAATTTGGGGAAAGTGCTCTTTTAAAATATATATTTATATATATATAAATGCTATTTTAATGAGGTGGAAATAAGGCAGTTAAAGAGTTTAGAAAGACCAGCGGGAGTTTTCACGTTAGCTCAGTGAAAGCCGGGTCCTCAGATCGGTCCAGATCGTTTGTAGGCTGGGTGGTTAAGGATCGGCGCATTTCTGGAAGACCTGAGAGTTAACTGTGGATTCTTCTGCCTATGAAAATTGTGCCCAAATCATCACTGAAAAGCCAAATGACACATTATGCGATTTACATGTCTGAACAAGGGTTTTGAATCTTTCTGCTTTTTTTGGGGGGGGGGACCACTTCAAAGCCCTGATTTGGGATCTGGATAAGGGATGAATTCAGTTTTCTCCTGAAAATGGCTCTTTCTGATTCTTCAAGTGCCCAGAAACTGCTGCTGTAGAATCAACTGGCAGTCCCCATGAGAGGAGACCTGTTGATTCATTAGGATTTACACAAGTGTTAACTTATCCTTCAGCAGTTGACTCAGTGGGTCCACTCTAGCTGGAACTAGCCTTTGGATTTAGGCCAACGTCTTGTCTTTTTTCTTGATTTCTCTTTTTTTCCAAACATTTCCATCTACTTTTACAATCAGTGTAGCTTCTCTGAGCAAGCCAATATGTGCCTTGGTCTTCTAGTGACCCGGTTTTGGCTACGGGACAGTCAGCAGAGCTCCCTCCTCCCAGCTTGCTGCGGGTTCCTCAGTCCCCGTCACAAGTAGACGAGAGCCATAGGTAGCCTTCCACTTTCGGAGTCTGTGCCTGAACATGATGCTGCGTCTCTCGGGATTTTGCAGCGGAGTTGATGGCCTCGCACAGTGGTTCCCAACCTTGGGTCCCCAGATGTTCTCGGACTAAAACTCCCTGGAGACTTCACTGTGCTGGCTGGTGATGTCTGGGAGATGTAGTCCAAGACCACCTTGGAGTTCCAAGGCTGGGAACCACGACTCTAATGGAAGACCTCGGGGCCGTCCGCTTGATCTCTTTGTAAGCTCCTATTAGATGAGGTCACCTGGTTATTGCCAGAGAGCTCCTACAGCTGAAGAGACAAATGAGTGTAATTGCATCACTCTGTTACAGCCGTGAGAACGGCTGATGGTCGGATTCCAAAAGATCTGTATGGAGAATTAGTGCAGGGAAGCCGCCCCCGAGGGAGACCACAGCTGCGTTACAAGGACATCTGCAAGCGGGATCTGAAGGCCTTAGGAATGGACCTCAACAGATGGGAAACCTTGACATCTGAGCATTCAGCCTGGAGGCAGGCGATGCATCACGGCCTCTCCCAATTTGAAGAGACCCTTGTCCAGCAGGCCGAGGCAAAGAGGCAGTCACAAAAGCAGCAAAACCAGGGAGCTGGACGGGGCACAGATTGTATTTGTCTTCAATGTGGAAGGGATGGTCACTCTCAAATTGGCCTTCTCAGCCACACAAGACACTGTTCCAAGACCTCCATACAGAGCACGATACCATAGTCTCTCGAGACTGAAGGATGCCTATGGGCTGACACAGCCATCGGATGCCATTTTCAGTCCAATGGCTCCGACGGTGCAGCCGGTCTTGTGCAGGGTCACCCGGAAGTCTTTATTAGAGGGTTCCAGGGGAACTGTAGCAGCCTTTCACGAAACGACAAGTCCCAGATTCCTTTGGGTGGAGTCGTGCCATTGAAAGAGGCCTCAGACTGCTTTTATGGTGTAAGGGGGACACGCTCAGCATCACCTTGCTGATCCCGCCTGGTCCACTCCCCAGGCTGCCTCTCTCAGCCCATCACTATATCAATTGGACGTGATTTATAGTCATGAGCATGGGTGGGGTGGAATGGCTGGAGCTGAATTGTACTCACCCTTGAAGCCTGTTATGGCTGGGTGCAGCCCGTCTGTTTGCTATGGAACAGTGAGCAGCCAGGAGCCTTGCTCTGATTTAAAAAAAAAAACACAGCACAGATCTTCAGTTGAAAAAGCACAATGGAGGGGGAGTGATTGCAGAGTAAATCAGAGGCTTCCAGGAGGACAGACTTCCCGTTTTCCGTTTCTGAATTTCCTTGGGATGGGTGAATGCCCATCCAGGTCTTGGGATCGGCTGAAGGGGAACAAAGCAGCACCCTAGTTTCTCAGTTGCCCCAGGTCTGCTGCTTTGGAAATACAGTACTGTACAGAGGCATTAAATTTTAGGAGAGATGAAACTATTGATCTGTCTCGGGGATAAGTGCCCTCTACTACCAAAACAGTCATTACAGTGACATCACAGAGGAAAGCATTACATCTGACGGTGGTTCTAAGTGTACAGTCTTCTTCTTCTCAGATACTTGGTTAGATTTTGTGTGGATTTTTAAAGTGTTAGGAAAAAAGCAGAAGTTCTTAAGTAAGGCTATCCATGCTCCGTGGTCCATTTTGGTCGTTCTTTCTCCCTCTTTCTTTCTTTTTTCTTTTCCCCCCTCAAGCTGCCTCCTGCTCTTCCCCTTTTGAGAAGGGTGGAGCTCTTAGTCTTCCAAACTGCTGGAGCTTAACCTTGGACATCTTCCTCCATTGTTCTCTTGGGGATTGTTACCTTGACAGCCTCGTTAGCACAGTCCTGCTGATGACTGCCTCCTGCAAAGGATGGCCTGTTATTCCAGAGGGAGTTGATGCCCCCTCCTCCTTCACAGCATCGTTTTTTTTGGGCTGACTCGTTAGCAAAAAGTTGAAATACAGTAAAACAGTGGTTGCACGGGACAGGTGGAAAAACAGATGTCAGTGGACATGATTCAGAAACCCATGGTGCTTTGTGCAGATCCTGGTTTTTTTTATGTACTCAGTGGCATCCTGTTCTTCTCTACTAAGAAAGAAGCTGTCTTGAGCCTGGCTCGTTCAGAGCAAAGCTGAGCCAACATGCCCAGCTTGCGTTGCTCTTTCTCACACTTGACAATCCAAGAGTGTCTGGGAACTCAGCAGTCAAGGGGCTCAAAAGTCCACGAGTCTCCCAAGGTGTTGGACTACAACCCCCATCATCCCCAGCAAGACTGGGCCGTCCTAAGTCATTTATCTGCCTGAGGCAAAGATCAAGGCGATACCACCTTCTAATTCCCGTAGACATAAGCTGTACATAAGCCAGTCGGACTGAACTTCCAAGTATATTTTAGTGCGGTTGACCGGATAGGGCCCTCTGCTATTCTTAGCGGGCCCAAGGACGGCCTCGGGATGTATGCAGCTTTGACTTGCAGCAAACTGATCTCGTCTGAACTCTGACCAGATTGGTTGTGTCCAGTGTGGTAGGAAGAGCTCAAGAAGGTGCCTGCATGCATTTGACTTCTTGACTAGTTGAGCCTGATCCTTCCTGCTGCCCCCAAATCAGCTGAGGAATTGCTACGGCGGTGGTGTCGTCATCATCGTATCAAGGAGCATGTCCCAGACACCCAGCTGCTCTGTTCTCCCTGCCCTTGTGCTAATTACCTCTTGCGAACAAGCTTTCTGGTGTCGCTCTGTTCCTGAGGAGTGGCAAGCTGCCTCTCGCTGGGATTTCGGTCTCTGCCCTTCCCGGTCTGCTTGCCCTGTGTTTCTGATCCCACATCCAAGAACATAATTCAAATCAGAGTGGAAAGGCAGGAATGGGGCCTTTCCTGCCAGACGCTTGTGGGTTTTGCTGAGCCCTGCTTTGGTGCTTCATTAGCCGTTTCAGTTTTTGAAGTCCAATGAATAGCTAATCTGGTTTTGATTGAGGGAGAACAATGGGGATTTGATTGTGGCCGCTTTTTGGAGATCCTCGGGTTTTTTGGGGGGGGCATGGGGGGGATACCTGCTGTCAACTGGTACAGAAAAAAGACAAAACCCCAACTTTAAAGATAAAGCAGTCCTCTCGTGACAAGAATGGGACTAAATTCTCATTTGGCCGAGGCCCCCTTCCGCAACATTTTTGAACGGAGGTGGGAGATCAGTTGCGTCGCGAAAGCTTTTCTTTCCAGGGAATCCAGGGTTTTCAGCAAAATGCTTTAATCCTGAGGATTAATTTTAAACACATGCCCCGAACCGCGAGGGTTCAGGGTAGCTTTTGACTCAAAAAGCCAGAGCCTCTATGGAATTAAGCCCATGTGCTACGCTGGTGGCAAAGCGAGCGTGAAAGATCAGCTTCCCCAATGGACGTCAGTTTGGGCCAACTGGGGATTTTTTTTTCTTCCAAGTGATGATTCAGAAGATATAAGATTGCTTAAGTCATTGCTCCAGGATTGGTACAGGCAGAGTGCAGAAAATCAGATAGGCTGGATTTCAAAATATCATTTCCAAAACTGCGGGAATTCTTTTTCGTAGGCCAGTTGAAGCTCACAAAATATTGTGTAAGCTTTTCAGTTCTCCGGAATGCTTTGTAAAGCAATTCCCGGTTTAGTTTCCTGAAGGGGATCCTCCAGATATTTGGATGATGATCTCCTTCACCCTTAATCATGAACTGCACCGACCTGGACGCTCACCCTTTACTGAAAGGACAAGCGAGGATACCTGTAGTCATAAAACGGTGTGAAGATGTAGAATAGGAATTTTTAAAAATTATCATTTCGGCCTCATTAGAACGCGTGTCACTTGAGTGGGTAGATAGTCTCGAGAATGACCCGGGAACGTCCTGCTGAGTCTTCTGTCCAAGGTGCACGATGGGGGCAACGTCAAGGTCTTTGTTATTCCACCTTGTGGTTCTTTATCTTTAAATCATATTTGAACTGGGCATCTTCAAATGGAAGATGGTCTTCCCTAAAACAGTGGTGCCATGTCTTTCCTCGACCTACAGATCTGATTCCATGTGGCTCTTCTTCTGTTTCTTAAGGTTGTCCTTTTCTGGCCGCTTCAGGCCACCTGATGGACCCAACTGCCAAAGGAGGTCATGAACATATAAAGAGGAGGCATCCTCTTTCTGCAACCCGTCAGGATAGGGGCCTGCACGTTTTCATCTCCTTTCGCTGCAGCCGTGATCAGTTTGGCTGAGCCCAGCAGCTGTTCCTGCCTTACTTATTAAACTTTGGCAAGATTTTGCTTGCTTTAGCAATTTGTCTCTCTCTCTCTCTCTCTTGAACAGACACCCCCATACACATACATGCAATCACACTGCTGCTCTGTGCAAAGCCTCCCCCCCGTCTTTCCCACTCACACTGCAGTCACTTTTGGCCAAATACTGGCACTCATCCCCATTGGCTTCAAGCTTGCATCTTGATTATCAGGTTTGGCTCCGACCCTCCTCCTTCTCTCCCCCATCCGGCACCCCTTTCCACTTCCTTGCTGCTGGCCCAGTCTCTCTCTCTCTCTCCTTCTCCCCCCCCCCAACTCCGGTTTCTCCTCTTCAGGCCAGTTTGTGCATTTGAAATCAGCCTCTGATCCAAAGCCTGCTTCCAAAGCCGGCATGAACAACAGCCAGCCTCTATGAGCAGAGCAGGGCCAGAGGATAGACAGGACTGCGTAGTGGCTTCCTTTTCCTCCGTTTCTTGAGCGCACTCCGCTTCTCGAGAACCGCAGACTCAGAATTTACATCTGGGCGGGCAAAACATGGCCCTCCAGATGTGGCTGGAGTGTGACTCCCATTATCCTATGCTGAGGAACACGGGTGAGTGGTAACATCTGGAGGCCCATGCCTTGCCAAACTCAACTTGCTAGATGCCTGAACCTCCCTTCTCCTGCGTTCTGCATGAGGAAGAGGATGTGGTCCGCTAATGAGCTGAGCAGCTTCCTGCGATCAAGGTTGGGGGAAGCGCTCAGGTGCGCTAGAACTCCAGCAGGCTGCCGGGGATGGGAGGTTTTTAAGAGGAGACTCATGGAACGTGACATGCACTCCCAAAGGGGTATATGTGAACTTATTCTTAGGAAGGTAAAATGAAGGCGATCAAAGACCCGTCTGAACCAGGATTCTCAGTGGGACCTTCTTCTTTGCAAACACAAGATCATTGGTTTAAGCTCCATTAGCTCCAGGTTAGGGCTGGTAAGAATCCTGCTTGAAATGCTGCAGAACCGTGGCTGCCTATCAGAGCTGGCAGTATAGGGTGGATTGACCAAAGGTCTGACTCAGCCCAAGGAGGCTGTAACTGCTTATGGAACAGTGCCCGCAGGATGAGCGTATGCTTGCCTCCCCTAGTGTTGGAAATACAGACGGATCCTGTCCCTGATACCGGAGGGGACGTCTCGCTCTCCTCCGGACTAGTAGCCATGGATGGTCTGAAGTGCCATGTCTTTGTCTAACCATTTTTTTTACAGCTGTCCAAGTTGGTAGCCACCCCTACCTCCAGTGGTTATGAGTTCCAGGGGTTAGCAATGTGCTACGCATTCATCCCATTTACATCCCACGAGTGCCGCTCAAGCTGAGACCCTGCCCGCTCCAACACGTGGGTCCCTATTAGGCACTTGTGTTGGTCTCTTTCTTTTCCTGCTTATGTGTTATTATAGTTTCTTGTCCTCTGCAATCATTAACATCATCATTATGAGTATTCCGCATCGTGAGTGCTGTAAACGTTTGCTGTAGTATTTACTTCCGTGTGGTGTTCAGTTAAGGTGTCTCAATGGAGACAGAAGAGGGAAGAGATAAGCCCTTAAATAAATAGCCTCCCCTCTGTTTTCCTTGCAGGATAAGTCAACAATTCCCTCCGTCATCTGTCAAGACCGAGGGATGGGCACCATCTGGCCTTGCAGATGTTTGTCAGAGTGTAACTCCCATCAGCCCCAGACTGATGGGAGTTGGAGTCCAGAGGCATCTGTAGGGATGCCTGCTGGCCACCTCTCTGTTTAACAGGGTTTTGTAAAAAACAACAACAACAAATCCAACAAACAACACAGATTTAAAACTCCTTGTGCTCTTCTCTTTCACAACGAGGGGATTTCCATCAGCGGCATAAGGGAGACACCTGCTGTTCATTCCCTTTGTCTCCATTTCACATCCTCCTTCTCTTTTATTTTATTTTATTTTAAAGTACAGTGGACCCCTGACTTACAGACGGCTTGACTTACAGACTTTTTGAGTTACAGACTTCTCTGGCCGCAAAATTTAGGTTTGACTTGCAGCCTGAGAATTGACTTAAGACATAAGACATAAGAAATTTATTTGTCATTGCGCTCACAAGTGGGTGCAACGAAATGAGGTGCTCTTCCCCAAGGTAAAACTGGACAACACTACAAAAAAAAGTTAAAATATACACAACTTTCACCATCCAAATATAGATACCCCGTTTTCTCTCAGCAACTAAAATTCCACCAAAAAACCTATGGCCCCGCATTTAAACTCAATACTGCACTTGGGTAAAAACTGTTCTTGAATCTGCTTGTCCTTGCTTTCAATACCCTGAATCTCCTTCCTGATGGTAATAGTTTAAAGAGCTGATATCCCGGATGAGAGGAGTCTTTCAGTATGTTAGATATCTTCCTCTTACATCTGTTCTTATACAATTCTTCCAAAGAGGGGAGTGAACAGCCAATGATGTTTTGGGCCGTCTTGATCACCCCTTGAATTGCCTTTTTCTCTGCCACTGTGCAGCTCGTGAACCATACACAGAGACAGTAGGATAATATGCTCTCAATCGAACTCCGATAGAAGGTGATTAACAAACTCTCAGTCAATTGTACAGACCAGAAAAAAACCAAAATGGAACAAAAACGGCCTGTTACGGGATTAATCGGTTTTCAATGCACTGTAGGTCAATGGAGACTTGACTTACAGACTTTTTGACTTGAGAACCACCTTCCAATACGGATTAAGTTCTCAAGTCAAGACCCCACTGTATTTGGTATACATTCATGGATCTCTCTCTCTCTCTCTCTCTCTCTCTGTCCCCCCCCTTCCAGGGTGCCCGAGGTCCTGATGGACTTGTGGGTGAACCAGGGTCACGAGGCGCCAAGGTGAGTTCCCTTTTCAAGAGGTATGAATCGTAGCATCCTTGTTCGTGGACTTTGCCACGTCGCATGTGGGCATGCAGCTTGCCAGTTGCGCTGGAAAGAGAAAACCAGGCTTTTAAAGACCTGTGCAAAGCAGAAATTAAATCCGTTTTAACTAGCTAGGTTGAACACAGGTTCACGACAGAGACCACATTTTAGAGAAGGAGCTTAGACAGTGCTTCCTGCTAGAATTTATTGTTAACTCATTCACTGGAAGTTGCTGCTGGAGAAACTTAGAAAGATCAGTAATAAGCTAGTCCCTTCTCTCCGGCTATATATGTTCAAATATACATATGCAGAGTATACATTCAAAAGGGAAGGCATATGAAGAATAAAAAGTAGGAAGGAAGGAGGCCAAGAAATATCAATCTCAGTTTGATTCCTGTAATGACCAGTTAGATGTCAATGGGTGAGGTAGGCAGAGAAAACAGCTGTTCCTTGATGTTTCAACGGGAAACACAATACAAAACAAAAGCAAAAAAGCCCACAAAACAAAACATTGTGGCCCCTTAAGGACTAACTGCTATATTTTGATGTAACCTTTCCTGGATCCTGCCCGCTTCCAGTGTGATGGCTTGGTTGTGAGATGGCCACAGTGTCTATTGACTCAGGGGGGACTCTGCTGCATATTAGGTTCTTATTTCATGTTCTGTTGCTACGTTCATATTGCAACTGTCATCCGGTAAGTTCAGTGCCCTGTGTGTGACTCTCTTCTTCCTTGCTTCATCTTCGTAATAACCCTGTGAAGTAGGTCAAGTGAAGGGAGCAGGAATGTTCCAAAGATCACCCAGATCATTTCATGGCTAAGCAGGAAAAAACCCCAGGTCTTCTGAGTCCCAATCCAGCCTTCAAACCCACACATCACATGACTGTTACTATTAAGTGTGTAGTTCACCAGATTTAGAAAACGAATTGGTCCAGTGTTGGATGTGTTGGATGTGTTCTGAATCCAGCATTGTTCCCCGGAGAATTTCTTCCCCGGCTTGGAAAGTACAGTGAGATTTTGCGTAATGGTGCCTCATCAAAATGGTATCTGTTTGTCATCCAAGTCCCGGCTACTAGTCAATGTCTGGACAGGCGAGTGTTTTCCAAAATAAACCTTGAATACTGTGCCAATTTCAGACCGAGTCGATGGAGGTTTCCCCGTCACTGCTGTGTACGATCCAAGCCCGAATCTCCGCAATGCACCATTAAATGCCTGGTTGTGGGAAAGGGTTCTGTGACGTTAGGAAGCCGGCCTTGCATTTCAACCAGATGCTACCGGCAACCAGCCTGTCATAAGCCTGAGAGGTGGGGAGGTCAGAATGCTGGACAGGCCCTCAGGAGAGGGCCAGTTAGAGGACTAAACGAGGCCATTTCGCTCTTTGTAAGAAGTGAGCCGTAGATACGGAAGCCTTTGGAGCATCTCAGCCAGGAGGAGACCACCTGGACCCCTTGTGTAGTTTTTGGTTTCCAAGGGTCTCCCAGCCTTAGGCTGCCTGGCCACTGATAGAAGGCCAGCAGCATCTGGATGACCACAAGGTCCCCATCCCTGATTCCACATGTCAGCAAAAGAAATCCATCTCTTTTTGGCCCTTGTCTTTTCCCTCTCTTCTCTCATTCACACACACACCCCTCTTTCTTTTTCTTGCTAACAGGGCCTTCCAGGAGATCCTGGCAAAGATGGACCAGATGGGCAACAGGTAAGACCAATGTACAGGACCCTCTAATTTTCAGCCCCACTGGGCTGGGCTCCACCTCTCTCTCTCTCTCTCTCTCTCATGGCTTTGCCCCGGTGTGTGCGCGTGACTCTGACACACACACGCCCCGCGCAATCGCTGCGCAAAGGAGGAAGACAGCTGCGCAGAGGGAAGCGGAGTTGTGCATGTGTGCACGTGCACCCAGCTTAGCAGGAACCTTTGGAGTTGCCCGAAAAAGGAGTACTTGACTGATGTAGATCAATACAGGTGTGAAGCTGGATCTCGGCTGTTCTCAGTGCCTCCAGCAAGTCTTACTACGACTCCCTGAATAGCTTTTTAAAATCTGGACCCCTGGATTGTTTATTTTAGTTTTTTCTTCTTCTTCTCCCTTACTTAACTTTCAGTGGAAACGCGAGGACAGGACGTGCCTCAAGAAACAAGGTCTCCTCGAGGTGGTATGAAAACCAGAAAGGACAGCTGGAGCATCTGAGTCTCTCTCTCTCTCAAGAAACAAGATTTTTTTTTTGAGAGAGAGAGAGACAGATAGATGCTCCAGCCGTCCTTTCTGGTTTTCAGAGTCTCTCTCTCTCTCTCCAGAAACAAGATTTTTTGAGAGAGCGAGACAGATAGATGCTCCAGCCATCCTTTCTGGTTTTCATACCACCTCGAGGAGACATGCTTGCATTTGGATGGGAAGCCATTGCTGCGATTTTTTTTTTTTCAGGGGAAAATTGGAGAAATGGGAGAGGCGGGATCCCGCGGCTTCCCCGTAAGTAGGAAATGCATCCTGTTTTCTAGCAAAGCTTGTCTTCACTGTTGGGCGAAGGGCAGCACCAGAGGGAGTATCTTAGCAGACAAAGTCCTGCTTCTGTGTCGCATCGAGGGGAAGGTGTGACAGAGCATCTCCCACCACCACCACATTGCCTTTTGACCTTTTGTGAGAGTTTTCTTCAAACCCTCCCTCCCTCCACACACACACACACACACACACACACACACACACACACACACACACAGAAGAAACATCAGAACAATAATTGAAATATTCCATTGGCTTTGACCCTTTGCCCTGTTAGTTGGAGGCACCCACCGTTTAGTAGGAACGTGGTGTGTGTGTGGCCCTCCAGATCCCCTTGGATGTCCACACTTGTGGTTCAGATTGCTTTCTCCCCTAAAAGGAACCAGGTTTTCTTCCATTTCTAGTCCCTGATGGCCTTCCTGCTGCTCGGTTGACTATTTACAAGATGCTGGTGATGCTTGTTAAAGAGGCGTGAAAAGTCGCCTTCCCGCCTGGAACTCGGACTCTTCCTTGTCTTGTTTCGTTGCAGGGCGTCCAAGGACCTTCTGGGCCTCAAGGAGCGAAAGGTCCTTTGGGAGACCCGGCAAGTACCCTGTCTGGACTCTCTCCACCCCTTTTTCCCCCTTCGCCACAATCCCTTTCTCTCTGGGTAACGTCGGAGAGTGACTCCATTGAGGACCAGAGGAGGTGGCTTTAAACCCATCCCAATCATTCTATGATTCTCTCATGCTTGGGTTAAATCTCATTTGGAGTCCCGGCACCACAGATTAAGGAGTGTATGGACCAACGTGGAGCGCCAGGGGAAAAGCAATCGACAGGGCAAAGGTTCTGGAAAGCCAGAGCTGTGGGGGGAACATTTTTGTGGGCTGGGTCTTCCCACCCTGAAGGAGAAAGAGAGGAGAATAGAGTGATCTGATGATAGCCAGTCAGAGCAGTGGCCGCAGGGAAGAGGGAGCCCATGTGCCATCTCCTCCTCCAGAGGGTGGGCCTCAAACCCATAGATTCACAGGATGAAAAGGGAGATTCTGACTGTGGTCAGGCCAGTTTTGCAGGAGAATGGCCTCCCCTTGCCTTGCAGTAGGGCTGCCCCCCTCCCCAGATGCATCCTAGCTCATTCTAGGTCTCTCGACCCCCTTGCCCACTTTGTATCCCTTTAACCTTGTGCGTCTCTTTTTCAGGGACCTCCGGGCGCACAAGGTCCACCGGGGCCTTTGGGAGAAATGGGACACAAGGTACAGTACCCTCCCTGACCACACGTCCCCTGGGGCCACTCCGTTCCTGCCTCCTGGCCATCCACTCCCGCCCACCGTCCTTCTGCATTAGGGATCCTCCAACTGTGGGGGACACTCCTAAGACAGCGGTTTCTGAACCTGGGGTCCCCAGATGTGCTTCGACTGCGGCTTCCAGGAATCCTGGCTGGCAGAGCTCACGGCGAACGCCTCTGGGCGTTGGAGTCCAGGAACGCCTGGGGACCCCAGATTGGGGGAACCCCTGGTTCTGACATACATATTGTGAACCTGGGGCATCCACAATGGCTCCGTGGAAATCCCTCCGCCTTAATCTCACTTGTCCAAAGGAAAGCGGGTTGGCCTTTGGGAGGTGAGAGGGCACCTTGGAACTTGGGACTCCCACCCGTGCCATCGGGGAGATACCAACAAGGCCATCCCTTTTTGGCTTCGCTGAGCAAGGGACAAACAGCCTGGGGAAACTTAGTAGTGGGAACGGACGGTGGGAGCAAGGGCTTTGGCAAATGTTCTGGAAGCTGAAAGAACAGTGGAAGAGACCCTTGGGGATGAATGGTCGGCTCTTCGGCTCCGTTTCTACGGAGGCCAAGGTGGGGAAAGTAATTACGCTGTCACTCTCTCAGCCGCTCTGTTCTAGAAAGCCCGGCTTTGATCTTGCTCCCTATTTAGCTAACAATGGCTTCGCCTTTCCCCCCTCTTTCTTCTCGCTCCAGGGACCCCCGGGCGCGGTGGGACGGCGTGGCCTTCCAGGTGAACCAGGCATGAAGGTAAAAAGAAAATAATAATACGGATGTGGGGGAGTGGGGCACCCTGCACTGCCCTCCTATGATGGGGTGCCTGCTTCAGGCTGCAGACAGAGTGGGGCCTTTGGTTTCTGCATCATCTGTCCCACAGTGTTTTCCTTTCCCCCCCCTTTTTTTTTTTGGACAAAAGGGCATCCTTGCAGGAAGGCAGAGGAAGGGAGTCCCTTGGCTGCAGGCGGCTTTAATGAAGCCTGTCTCAGCCACAGGGGGGAAGAGGCTGTTCCTTAGAGAAAAGAAGTCAATTGCCCTTTGCTTTTATCATCACCACCATCATCCTCATCAACTTAGAACTGCAGAACTGGAAGGGACCCTATGGACTATGGAGTCCAGTGAGGAATTGAACTCCCAACCTTTTGCTCTGCAGGGAAGGGATCCTATGGACTATGGAGTCCAGCCTCTGTCAAAGAGGCACTGTGAGGAATTGAACTCCCAACCTTTTGCTCTGCAGCCAGAGGCCTTACACCCCTGAGCTGTCCTAAAACACGCTCCCCCCCCCCCAGTGCTCAGGCTGAAGAAACTACATCCCTGAGCTGTCCTAAAAACACGCTCCCCCCCCCCAGTGCTCAGGCTGAAGAAACTCCTGCGCAGAGATGGGGAAATCCTGCCAGTTTCATTTTCTGGCCTGTGGTCTCCCTGGTGCAGTTGGGGTTTCTTGTCCTGGCCTCCTCCACCCAGGGAGAAGGCAGGCCTGATGCCAGCGGTCGTCAAAGTAGGGCTGGTTCCAAGGTCCAGAAGCAAGTTGCCCCCACGTGCCCTAGGAGTAAATCAAAAGAAAGTGTTGACAACTTGGGGGAATCTTGGTTGAACGGCAGGTTGAACTCAGAGGTCCAGGGAGGTTCCTGGAAATCACCCACGCCTACAGGATGTCAACTACTTGCCCTCCGATCTAAGGTCCCACCTTCGCCACCCTGGCAAGCTGAGTTAATGGCTCCTAATACAAAGGCCACTGTACTCTCGGGGACTTGGTCTTCCCCTCCGGAGCTATTTATAAACTACCCTCCACCCCTGCCACCAGGCTTACTACCCTTCCCATCTTTGCTGGAGCTCTGCTACAGCGCCTACAATGGCTCACTTATTTGGGGATGATATTCATTTTTCCTTTCAAGCTCGTTCCCCCTTTCTCACCCCACGGGTCCGTTTGCCTTGGCAGCCCTTCCAACACACCCTTCTGGAGTGGCTGCTGCCTCCTGATCCCGGGGACGCCTCTTAAGGTTTCAGCTTCCCTGTTCCTTCCTACCGTTTGGCAACGTTCTCGTTCTTCCACGGGAACAAAGCTCCCATAATTTGCCTAGATGGCCGGATGCGCAGGGAACAAACTCCCGCTGTGTGCAGGGAGGAGCAGGGACGGCTTCTTTCGGCAGCTGGAAGGGACTCACCAGCAAACTCGTTTCGAGGGATGCTGGCCTGTCCTAAGCCTCCTATGGTTTTCTGGCCTGTGGTCTCCCTGGCCTTAATGGGAGATTTCCATTTCTTTTTAAAATAGCCTGCCACTAAACGTGTCCCGGTTTGCAGAGGGACCGTTCCTTAATGGGAGATTTCCTTTTAAAATAGCCTGCCACTAAACGTGTCCTAGTCCCTTATACAGTATCAAGTTTTATTGGTCTTCCTATGCAAACAGCTTGGCTGTGTGTGAGCGTCTGTTGCACTCCTGGCCTCCTTCAGGGGTCATCTTGCAGCACACCTGTCATAGCCAAGCTCCGCCCCCCGCCTAGGTGTTGCTGGGACTCCACCCTAATCAAGCAGGCACCGCCCCTGACCTCCCAGTCTTCCTTCCCTGAGCCTCTAGGTTTAACTGGGAGACAAAGAGCAGTGCCTTGTCTCCCTTGGGGAGAAATCAACCCGCAACCCCTAGGCGGTGGGGGGGGGGCGCCGACTATAAGAGGTATGCTCAAGGAAGAACCCCGAAGAACGGGAGCCTCAGATTTGCTTCATAGGTTTCCTAATCTGATAAACATCCTAAGAATGTTTGGAAAGGTTCATGAAAGTGGCTGATGCTTTTTTTAAAAAAATTAACTTTAGACACATTTTTGGGGGGGTATGGTCGTAATGTAGTAAACTTAACAGCAGCTGCTATAAAACAAGAAAAACCTTGTTTTTTAAGAATAGAAGCGGGCATAACCTTACAAGAAAAAGTGGAGAGGGGGCAAATCAGCCAACTTTATCCATTCCATTAAAAAAACTCCTAATGTTAACCTTCAAAATGCAATGAAAACAGAATATAATGGTGCCTGTATTATTGGGGGAAAAAAACACAACATCATGCTGCAGGTAGTGTCTTTGTGTGTGACGTATTCATTCTAACCTTAGCTTATTAACATGTACTCAAAGCTGCCTTTTTAAAGGTCTCCTTTCTTTGTTTGAATTTGTAGGGTGATATTGGACCGCTTGGGGTCCCTGGAGAACAAGGCCTCATCGGACAGCGGGTGGGTAGAAAGCACCAGCTTTCAGGCTGCTTGATACAGATTATGCTAAGTGATCTTGTGATAAACCCTCTGATTCCCACAACCGTTCAGTCTTAGGGATGTGTCCCGTAAGAAGGGCTTTGTAGACCTGGATAGGGTGTGTTTGTTGGCGGGAGAGTTGTGGGGGGGCAGAGATCAGCTGATTATCAGGTGCATTGCAATTCAGGATTATGGAAGTCACCATGAGCAGCAGAGAGCTCGAGACAAAGGCAGTGAGGCTGGGATTCAAGATCATACTCCCATCATCCCTCTAGTGGCTTCCAAAAGGACTCTGGCTCACCCGGGGAAATCTTTTGAGACTTGAGGTGATGATGACAGGGTTTAACAATCCGCTTACGTGTCTTTTAGGGTGATCCCGGTCTTGAAGGCGACACTGGCCCACTAGGACCAGATGGGCTGAAGGTAATAAGCACCCCGCTTTTCTAATTTTAACCGCATGGAAGGTCTCCTTGAAATGAATCTCCCCTTCTTCCAAATCCCCCTTTCTCCCCTGGAAGGGAGTCTGAAAACATCCTCTTCTCATAATGGGTGTCCCCCACCTTGTGCTGTTTTCATTCCACACTAGACTTCGCTGCCACGGCATGAGACAAGGGTTTCCACTCCAGGAACATGTCCATCTATCCTAGAAAGTCCCGCCAAATAAATAAAAATATCCTGGTGTCAGTCCAGCCGTAATTTGCTGCTCTTCTCAGCTGCAATCCGTCATTGGGCGTCGGAGCTGAGCTAGTCCTCCCTCGCAAGATAACCCTGCAGGAAACCAAACGAAAGCAAACCCTTCGGCTCTGGTTTTCCTCCCCTTTCTTTCAAGACTTCACGGAAAGTTCCTTCCCCATCTGCAACTAAACCAGGCGGTGCTGCTTATGGCCCCAGTTCTTTCCCATATATATATATATCAGAGAGTGAAATGGGAACCGGCTGAGTAGATAGAAGCAGCACCGCTTCAGAGGCCAAGATGAGGCAAGATGGGTGGGAGGGTGAGGCTGTCCCTAGAAAAATTATGTTGGCATGCAGAGCCTTGGGGGCTCAAGATGAGAAGAAACGTTCTATCTATGGGCCACTGTAGAGACAGACCGTCTCTCCCTGCCTCCTGCCAGCTGCTTTCCAGCTCACTTTTCGGTTTGGTAGCCTTTCGAAACCCTCGCACCAAAACCCGGCGCAACGGGGTGCTGTGTAGCCAAACAGCAACGGACAGCCTGCTCACACGCGTGTTACTCTTTCAGGGAGACAAAGGGGAAACGGGCTGCTTTCCAGCTCAGTTTTCCCTCCCTCGTTCCTCGGGTAGCCTTTGGAAACCCTCACACCAAAACCTGGCGCAACGGGGTGCTGTGTAGCCGAACAGCAACGGACAGCCTGCTCACATGTGTTTTACTCTTTCAGGGAGACAAAGGGGAAACGGGCCCAGAAGGCGAAAGAGGCGAGAAAGGGCAAGAAGGCATCAAAGGCAAAGAAGGGCCTCCTGGCTATCCCGGAATCACCGGCCTCCGGGTGAGTTTGCAGGATCACCTGCTTTTCGTCCGCATTGTTTTACTCTACTGTTTAGCCATGCGGGCATCTCTTTCGACCCACGAGTGCCTTAATCTGCGATAGCGGTTTTATCTGAACTTCAGCTGTGTTGGTTTTCGAATACCCTCCAAGCTTCCTGGAAAGACCTGGTCATCTTCTTATGTATGGTGATGGACTCCGAGCAGTTCTGCTTCTCCTTGCTAAGTTAAGGCGCTGCGGGAGAGCCCCACCGTGGCAAGGCTGCCGTTCCTCCCCTGTGGTTCTGTGTGTTCAGCTGAATGCGGTAATTACACATAGAAATTACAGAGAGCAATCAAATGCCCAGCAATGCCTTCAAAGACAAGGAGGGAGAAAGGCTGGAATAAGCTGAGATGCGGGCTCCTTCCATAAAGACGCATCGTTTCAAAACCTGCAGTAAAACCAGTCTTCTGTGGTGGAAGGATCCTAGCGGAGAGGTATAGAACAGTTTCACGTGCAAAAATGTCTTGGGCTCAAGTCACTCATCCTCCTTCCTTCTGCTTCCACAAACATGCTCTCCTAATTTAGGGTCCCTTCTTTTCTGGAAGGAACTGAGGGTCCAGAGCCAGAAAAACAAGTCCCAAACTTTGCAGGAGCAATTGTGAACGGAGAGAAGTTTTTGGACTACAGATCCCAGAATCCCTTGCTTGACACGATCATGCCGAGCCAGAGAGTCACTCTTGCACACTACGGTTGAGCTGGCGCTTATACTTCTTCGGCATCATTATAGCCGTGATCTAAACTCAAGTGTCTCGGTTAAGAGGCAGCAAGAATAGCAAAAGGAAGGAAGATCCCTCGGGATTCTGGGATCTGTAGTCTACGGATGTAACTTGTCCAAACTCTCTGAGTGTGAGGATAGAGTCCAGCACCCGCATTGCCCGACTCTCGGGCACGGCGGTCTTCCTCCCAGCTACGTGAACACAAGGGCTGATTCACCGCCACTCATTCAGACATGTGCCCGCGGTCGAAGTGAAGCAGAGATTCCATTATATAACCTCCGGTACCTTTCCAGCTGCTGGATCCATCCTGCCAGGAGCTGAGCGTAAGCCGTCCCATCCCGTCGACATTCCTCTATAAAACCTCCTCTCTCTCCTCAGCTGCGGGGGATCCAGCGTTTCGTTTTTTCCTCCTCTGTAGTACAACGGAGGAGCCAGAAGCCGCGGGAAGCGCCTGCCAACTGGCAGAAGCCTGAGCTTGATGGGTTTTCAATTGCTCACTCTTGTTGAGTGCAGCCGCTTTTCATAACACGGTGCCCTTTTTTGCAGGCTGGGAGTCTTCGGTAGCCAAAGCTTGTGCCGTTCCAAGAAAGTAATTGCAGAGTTCATATCCAACATGTTCGGTGGAAAACAAGAAAATCCCTGTTTTTACAAAGAGGCAGGAGACGAATCTCTCGGTTTTAGATTACTTCTGTATTTTAAAAACAACAACGACAGCAAAACCACATTGAGTGTGAAAATAATTAATTACAAGTGATGGCCACATCTATAACTAGCTACATTTTGGGTAACAAGAGTGTAAGTAAGATATCTTTTGAAAGGAATGTAACAAATAGATACGAAGTCATTTTTTGGGTATAATGCCTGACATTTTCTAGTTAGCTTCAGCGGGGATTTTAGGCAGTTTTAGAGATATTTGGACAAAAATCTTTCCAGTATTATGTTACTCTTTTATTAATCAAATTGAAAAAAGAATATTCGGTTTTTGTTTTATTGATCTTTTGTGTTTTTTTGTATTTTCAAAGTACAGTATCACAGTCGGTCGCCAGAGGGAGCTACATAATATTTCCCTGTGATTCCCTGTCAGTAACGGCAGTACGTTAACATAATTAATGAATTATTTTTGCCTGTGAGCATCAATAATGATCTTCTGCCTGGTCGAGTAGTTAATGACTTTGGGAAAAGGAGAACATTGTGGTTTGGTCAGTTGTCAAACAGAATTGAGAACTGGTTTTATAAATCATGGTTTTTCCTTCCTTTAATTTGGGTGGTGAGTAGACAAGTCATGATTCATGTCACCCTGGATTGCTCTCCCTTCAAAGATCTCCTGATTTTCGAGGACGGGAGTGAATTTATGAAGCTGACAGCTGTAAAAAGACATTAGAGGCAACCTGTAGTTGGAAGAGAAAAATCCTGAAAGTTGTCAGTATCTCAGTGAGAGCATTGTTCACTTCCGGGACTTTGCAAATTAGCTTGCTTTGTTTTTTTCCCCCCTTTAGGATTTAAGTATGGGCATTCTTTCAGAACCAGAAAGTCTATCCCATCTCTCCAACACTGATATGCTTTTGGCTTTAATGATGTGTTTCTGCTTCTGAGTGTTCAGGAACAGGGAGTGAATTCCATGGCATTAAATGTTGTCTGAAAACTGCCGTCAGTGGTATCTTTGCAAAATATGAGTGCTATGATTGCACGAGAGTGTTGGCGATCATTCTTTCTGGCCCAAGGGAGGAAGTTTGGGGTGTCTGTTTTTTATTGAATTGGATGCAGTCTCTCTGTACCCCATGGCATCACGTCCCCAGGCACAGTGACTGGTTGTCACCCGAAAAGAGCGCTAGCTTTGTGCTTGACGAGGAGCCCGCCCCCTGCCGCCCTCTCCCTTCAGCCCTTGCCCTCCAAGGAAGGCACTCCTGCTCTGTCTTGCGCTCGGCGGCATCTCACCAGCCGGGGTGGAGCTTCAGGGACGAAGGAGGAGCTGGCAAGCTTTAATTAAACCCCGGGTGGCTCGTCCCTCTCTTGCTGTGACCGTTGCTCCCTTGGCTAGGAGCCGCTGCAGGTAAGCAGCGTCTGCAGAACGCTGTCCTTGGTGCTGATCTTTTCCCCCACCTGCTCTGCTTCATGTGGTGCCGGGCAGGGCCTTACCTTTCCAGGAGCAAACCTCGCGTCCTGTTTTGATATCTCCTCAAGTAACCCTTAGGAAGGGGCGGCCCTGAAGGTTTTTGTGCTCAGGCCGGGCTTTTGAACTAGACCCTACTGGTCTTGACTAGCGTTGGGCTTGTTCTCCGTTTCTAAGCTCGGGACTCTTAATCCTGCCCAAGATATTTGCCTCCTGAGGCAGAAGATGGCACCCTGCCTCCCATTTCACCTGCAAAAACCAACCAGAGTTTCGGTAGAATATTTGTTCCGCCCTGGTGATGGTCACAGTACCTTCTGTTTCGCCGGAGGCTAGCAGGACACCTTTAGGGCAGGTTGTGGAGGTTGTCTGGCACAGGAGAAGAATCGGAGGAGTGCTGGGGCTGCCAATTCTTCCCTTCATATCTATCCCTCTGCATCTGCTACTGGAAATGACTGCCTTTCTCTGCCTAACGGTAGGGCCGGTCCCATTTTAACCTTCTAGCTTGATTCCTCCCTGCTTCCTGGTTACCACTTGACAAATGCCTACGTGAAACGAAAGGTTTTTTTCCCCCCCACCTTGAGCTAGCTGATGGGTCTGTTGTGATTTGATGCCATCAATGGGATAGATGGGGTGATCTAGGGAAAAGTTGTTACTCTTGGGGAGTGATCCCATCTGAGGCGGAGAGAAGGGAATTTATTTTCCCAGCTAGAACATATGACCTGAAACACACGCTGAAAATACATGCAAGGCTTCTGAAACAATAAGACGTATCAAAGTGTTTCAAAGCTGCAGAGCGCCCTTCTCTCGGCCAGCTGGTTTTGAGCCAACAAAAATGAACTTTGGAAGCGAATTATTCTCATTTGAGGACCGCCCGTCGCAGCGGGTTTTGCCTGAGAGGACAAGAGCTAAGAAAACTCGAGGCAACGAACCGGAAAGGATGACGGGAGATGCCAGACTCTACTGTTCCTTCATATTGTACTAGTAGTTTTATTTTTTTTCTTTTCTAGTTCCACCAAAGGAGTGACGCTTAACCCTTCAGAAAATGAAAACAACAATGTATTGTCTCCTTTTTTTGTGAAATGGGCAGGCATCCCTGACTGCTTACTGCAATTCTTGGGGAGTTTTCAAAGAACTTGCTATGTTAAGCCTGTTTCGCCATGTGTAATTAAAAACAAAACAAAAAGGAAATCAAAAGTTCTGTGAAGACTTTTCTTAGATATCTGCCAGGAGGCATATTAAGATGTAAGGTGTCAAGGAAGTGTTTATTCAATGCCGGCATAGAAATCAAATGCATTACACACTAAAGGCATTAGTAAAGAAGTCTGAATTTCCAGAATGCATAGAATCACTTTTATTTGTTGTTACACAAAGCACCATAAATAACTGATGTTCTGTTCAAGTTTCCTTTCTCACACATTTCCCTTTGATGACCCTTTTATCTCAGGAAATACCGTTTCCTTCTGCATCTGGCCTGTCCGTATGAGGAAAGATTGTCTTGTGTACTTAAAGGGGAGGATGGTTGTGTGTAATTGTTTTATAAGGCTTCTTTGATTTGCATTCCATGGAATGGCTTTTTCCCCATCTTGCATGAAACTAGGAATACTAAAGTACATGGGCTATTTTAATACGCTTATATAGCTGCTATATTCTAACACTTGGTTCTATCTCAAAGTTACAGTGGAGAGGAACGTCCGCAGTGGCATCAGAAAAAAACACATTTATTTCAGGGTGAAATTTTGTTAATTATTATTAATC